CTAATTCCACTATCTGAGTGCAGTTTCTATCCCGTCTTCTAAAGCCCAGAAGATTCTGTAGCCCTTGTTGACATTTTAGGGGGAACAAGATGTCAGCCTATGTTCCCAAACAAAGCCTTCTTTTGACAAGACCGCAGGATTGCACACTCTCATGAAAGAAGAACTTTTACAACTCATAAGTTAAATAATCATTAAATAATAATAATATGGTTGAATGAACAAATGTTATATGAATAACTAATCATATAATCATATAATGAAATGGACAATATGGTTAAATGAAATGTTTTAAATGAATATTATTATTACATTGAAAGAGCAACAAGGATGAAATGAAATATATGACCCATTTATTTAATCAGCACACTGAATGGACAAGACACATTCACCATATCTTAATGACGCAAATTAGAATCAACGTCACTGCACATAGATATTTTCTTATCCACAAAATCAGCATCTTCGTATCTGAGGGAAGTGTGTATCTGAGTTTCTTGACAAAACCCCTTTATAGGGCAAGTTCTGATTTACCAATAAACCAAGATATGGCCATTATTTAAAACAGCATCACTCCTTGAGTGATTCAGTTGAGCCTAACTCTGACTGGCTGTTGGAGGGAAACTCTGCTCCCATTGCATCTTTGACAAGCTGTCAAAAACCTGTTGCAAGCTACAGCTCGCAAACGGTTCCTTCAGAACAAAGATGAACCAAATTCAACTCCTTAAGGGTTATTCCTCAGATGCAAATAACAACTGTCGTGACCTTGAGACATCTCGAGACCGGTCTAGTTGGCACTGCGGTTTCTTCTATGGACTTTGGTACCTCTGGGTTCCCCGGACCTCAACACATTCAGGATCTACCACGAAGGTCTTCGAGTAGGTATGTAGACTCAACAGATTGCGTCTAAAGTGCTTTTTGTAAACCATCAACTTATAGTTTATAGCAGACCAAATTCACTCCCACTCAGAACTCACTTTCTTCAGATACAAAGGTTCTGATAACATCACATTCACACATCATCACACCTCACATTCCATCCACTTAGATTCATTCATCACATAAAGTGGCCTAGTTGTCATGTTTTAATTGTTTAGAAAATAAATTTCCCACTCTATAAACTTGACTCTCTTCTTGAATTAATACGACGTGTCTGACAATCCCTAAATAAACAAAGAATTCTAAATCTTCTGGTTAAATATTCAAAGACCAATCAGACTGGATGTCCATATTTATATGGAAATCCACATCATATTGGTCAATGTGTAGGGTAGTATATCAAGCTTTAAAAGCACCCAAATGCATACGTACGTATGTTACTTCCTACATATTATAGACACCAGCTCCCAGCGACACTACTGAGACTCAACATTTTAGAAAAGAGATTTGATGAATTAAGATAAAAAAAAAAGTCCTTTAAATTCTAGCTGAAGGGTCATAAATGCAGTAAAAGATTTCAAAAGTGCCTTTTTTTTACATCCATCCATCCATCCATTTTCATCCGCTTATCTAAAGTCGGGTCGCGACGGCAGTAGCCTAAGTCGAGAGGCCCAGACTTCCCTCTTCCCAGCCACATGGGCCAGCTCCTCCAGGGAAATCCCAAGGCATTCCATGGCCAGGTGAGAGACATAGTCCCTCCAACGTGTCCTGGGTCTCCCTTTAGGCCTCCTCTTGGTTAGACATCCCCGGAAAACCTCACCAGGGAGGCATCCAGGAGGCATCCTGACCAGATGCCTGAGCCACCTCAACTGACTCCTCTTGATGTGGAGGAGCAGCGAATCTACTCCGAGCCCCTCCCGGATGACCAAGCTTCTCACCCTATCTCTAAGGGAGAGCTCAGCCACTCTGTGGAGAAAACTAATTTCCGCCCTTGACTACCACCCGTCACACACTGCACCTGACCCCTTTGGCACCTCCCACGAGTGGTGAGCGCATGAGAATGGGGACCCACGTTTCCTCTTCGGGCTGTGCCCGGCCGGGCTCCATGGGTGACAGCCCGGCCACCAGGCGCTCGCCAACGTGCCCCACCTCCAGGCCTGGCTCCAGAGGGGGGCCCCGTGACCCACGTCCGGGCGAGGGAACACGGTTTCCATTTATATTATTCCTCATAAGAGGTCTTTGGGCTGATCTTTGTCTGATCCCTAAACTAGGACCTGTTTGCCATGGGTGACCCTACCAGAGGCTTATGCCTCAGACAACTTAGCACCTAGGATCATTGGGACACTCAAACCCCTCTGCCACGGTAAGGTGGCAACCCAGGGAGAGCCTTTTCTTTTTTTCTTTGAATAAAAAGCTTCTAACATATCTTCTCTAACAAACATGGACCCTTCGTTGTTGTAGAACATCTAGGTGCTGCCATTTTGGTTTCTTTTCTTTTGATGTAACATTTCCAGCACCACAGGCAACAAGCCAGGTATGTTCATGCAGTTTTTTTCCACTGACGGTCTTTTCCCTCTTGGGACTCATTTTATAACCAAAAGCAAAAAAATTCACAGCTTTCATGAAATTGTTTTCTCTCCCCTTAAAATGTCCATGTCTCTGTGTCTTATTATACAGATTTTGAAAATAATCTCAAATGAAATACTTTGTGGTTGCTTATTTCGAGCTATCATTATTATTATTATTATTGTTGTGTTCGTTAATCCATAAAGTGGCAAAATGTAAAGCAGAGAGTTTACATTTGTCACGTTGAGAGCAGGAGGTTAGGACCCAAGGTGCAGGAAATCCAGAACACACAGGCAGGAGCGGTTGAAAAGTAAAAATCCTTTATTTAGGAGGAGAACCAAAAATCCAAGAGGCGAAGGCAAAAACCTAATAACTAAACTAAGACCAAAATCCAAAAGCTCACTTTCTGAGCAGAGACCTGGAGACTGGAGACTGGAGACTGGAGACTGGAGACTGGAGACTGGAGACTGGAGACTGGAGACTGGAGACTGGAGACTGGAGACTGGAGACTGGAGACTGGAGACTGGAGACTGGAGACTGGAGACCGTTGACCAAGACAATGAACCAACAACCACAGAGTGACAAGACAAGGCTTATATACACATGGAGAACAATTAAGGAAACAGGAAGCAGGTGTGTGGAGTGAGGGCTGGAGGGAAGGCAGGTGACACAAATTATCTAAATGGGGAAAACAGAACCAGTGGAGGGCAGATAGACCCAAAACATAAAACTAAACCTAAGACTGAGGGAAGGACATGCACACACAAAAAACGCTGAGCAAGGGACAAAGAGGCTGGAGCTACAGAACGTGAAGGAAGACTTGGAGGGCTGGGGATGAATGAATGACACAGGACCTGGGAGGAATTGACTTTAAAGGGCTACAAACATAAGACACATAATGAAGGGGCAGACAAAGGAGCCATGAGGGCGCTATGAGACACAGAAGGGAATCTAGAGAGGGATGGAGAAACATCAGGAGGCGGATGGAGAAACATCAGGAGGCACATAAGGAAGGGGCAGACGCAGACCATGACAACTTTTACCCAACTCTAACTAGCATTTTAGCTACTTTTTGACCAATCAATGTCTCTTGAAGGCCCCTCAAAGGATTGGTTTAAAACTGTTTCATCACTAAAGAATTATCTCCAAACTGCGAAGGTTGGTATTGAAACATGACCATGAAATGGTTGTCCATGCCTTTATCTCCTTCACGTTTTAACAAAAAAATAACCCTTGACCGCCTTCAGTTGGTCCAGAACTCTGCAGCAAGACTCCTAACTGGAGCAAACAGAAGAGCACACATCACTCCTATTCTAATGTCTCTGCACTGGTTACCTGTTAACTTTAGAGTTCATTTTAGAATCCTGACTATAACTTTCAGGGTTGTTCATGGTCAAGCTCCTCCCTATATTACTGAACTGTTAAATCCTTATACTCCAACCCGAGCCCTCAGGTCCACACACCAGATCCTTCTAGAAGTTCCAAAGACCAGATATAAAAGTCGAGGTCCAGGCTGTTGCACCCCGACTTCCTTTATCCTTACGTACTATAGACAGTCTGGAGACCTTTAAAAAAACAGCTGGAGACCCTTTTATTTAAAGCAGCTTTTACCTAAATAAATCTTGTCCTAACCTTAAGGACAGTTATTAGTTTATAAGACATGGGTTAGGGTTAGGGTTATGTTAATAAAAGGACCCTTGTTGTAAAGTGTTACCAAATAAACTGTATTTACTTACCTAAATTTAATAGTTGCATATGCAGTGGTATACATCTTGGTCTTATTTAGTAAACATTTAATAAGGCAGTGCTGACTATTTTCACACCAATTATTTTATGTTTAAATAGCTGAATGCCATATTTGTAGAGCAGCAAACAGACAAGTAAACAGAAAATATGATAACATGTAATAATTCACATTTTTATCACTGAACAACTGAATGCATGAAGGGCTGATGTCCTATTATCTGTAAACGAACAGAAGCAATAACAAGCTTGTGCATTTGTAGTCTTGTCACTTAGTTTCTTTGTTGAAGGCTCTGCTGCTCTTCATGCTGCTACATCACTCTGCAGAATCAGGAAGTTAAAGGAGCAGAAAGAGGAGTGACAAAGTCTTTAGTGGGATTTGTGTAACATTCACATATTGGTTAGAATCAATACCAGATACATGATTGAACCAATGAGTTAGAGGTAAAGTAGGTGAATATTTAATTAGATCAGTTCAAATCCAAATGGTTTCAGGAAATTCTGAATGTCTAAACTCTGATGAAAAATGAACAAATTAAACTATCTTTTTACATATCAGACACACCGCTGCATCAAACACCCCTGTGTTTCATCCTGATGTAGTGGAAACAGACATGCAATTTTAATGAAGGATCATGATGTTTTGCTCCTGTCTTTCTGAAAGATGAGTCAAAGAATGTTCCTGTAAGCCATCAGATTCTGTGTTTGTATTTTACACATCTGTTTCATTTCTCCATCTATTCCCAGGAAGGAGGTGCCACAGTCAGACTGTGGGAAGGCGTGAGAAAAACGACGAAGAAGGCATTCCTGCTTATGGAACATTCCACAACAACAAAATTCATAAATAAAAAGCCTTTGTTGGAGAAGGAATCTGAAGAAAGATGCAGAGCTGCAGGGATTGATGAATGTTTGACAGATAGTGAGGAAAGGAGCTTTGCAGCAGCATTCCTACTGTGCTGAGCTGCGTGACTGGTCTCTGCAAGCAGAGGGAGGAGAGAAGGAAGGGATGAAGGAAGGAGAGAAAGAAGGGGGAGGGGAGGCGAGTCAGTGCAGTGCTAGCTGAGTGGATGGGAAGCAGCCGCGGCGCAGGCAGCAGCGGCAGCAGCATCAGCACCACTCTCCCTTTGTGGATGCTGGAGGCAGTCTCGTTGCTGCACCCAGAGAAGACGTGTCCCTTGCTCTCTCTGTATATGCATGGCGTGGCCGAAAGAAGAGAGGCAGTGAAGTGACAGGGCTTGGGGCACAGCAGAGGGAGGCAGGAGGAGGAAACAGGGACAACCTGTGGTAGTAGTGAGGAGGGCTGGAGCGACAGCAACAGTAGCAGCGGCATCATGGCACAAGCTGCCAAGCAGCTCCGTAAGACCAAGGACCTCGCCGAGGCCGCCGCCCAGGAGCAGAGGGAGAAGGAGGAGGAAAAGATCAAAAAGAGGAATCGATCTAGGGACCGCAGACGCAAGGTATGGACTTCTAGAGGCAGGGCAGGTGATGGCTGTTCTCACATCCATCACCCATCCTACCTGTCCTGTTTTTTTTTTCTTCTCTTTCCTGTCATTGAACAGAACTGGTTAGGGTGCAATCATACAAGCATGATTGCACAGTTTGTCTCAGCTGATGTGTGTGTGTGTGTGTGTGTGTGTGTGTGTGTGTGTGTGTGTGTGTGTGTGTGTGTGTGTGTGTGTGTGTGTGTGTGTGTGTGTGTGTGTGTGTGTGTGTGTGTGTGTGTGTGAGGTAACCAGAGAAGCATTTAAGCACTAGTACGGGTTGTGTCTGCACCATCAAATATTTAGCTATGAGAGGTTGTGACTATATTCTGGTCTAACCCAAAGATAACGAAACACATAATCTACTGCTTTACTTTGGATCTCTCTATAGGCTCCAGCTTCTTTGTATTAATACAATTCAAGTTTTGAGCTCTGCAAATGAACGTGCACACTGGTGGAACCCTCGTTGTTGCATAGGAGGTTTTTGCAAGAAGCTGTGCAGCTCTTAGATTTGGTGTCTTCCCCCATATTGCATCTTTTTCTTTCTCTTTTTTTCTGGGGGAAATGCAAAATGGAGGGGGAAAAGATGGAGGTACAGTCTAATAATAGAAGCAGTTTTTATTTATTTGTGCATCTTTTGTTGTGCCTTGTGAGTGGCCTAATAAAGAAACTGAGCATGAATTTTTCATTTTTAAAAATCGTTTAATCCTGTTGTCACAAACGGGGCATCACCACCAGCATGAAAGCTCTCACTCACCCCTTCTTCTCAAGTCTTTATTGCCCTCTCCCGCCTCTTGCTGTGCCATCATGGGTTCAGATTTTATCTGAGTTATACCGCCTTCTGTAATGCTTAGCTGATTTAACTTTTTTTTTGTTTTGTTTAAACATACAAGATTGAGAAGTAAAATTGGGCTAGGATTCAGTGATTGGATGAGAAAATGCTTGCAGCATTATTCTGCTTTCAGAGGCTGAAGGTTTAATGAAATGCCAGCTCTCAGCTGTTGGGCAGACATTTATGATGCGTTTCTGCCAAAAGAAAATGAATGGGACTTGACATGTTTGTTACATCTGAGCGTGCCCACTGAGCAAAGACCTAGTTTGTTTGTCCTACAGACGTGGTCTGGACCGACAGACTCAATATAGACATGATCTGCACATCCATGCGACGTTGACTGCTTGCAGGGTGTGCATGGAAACAGAGAAGATGAGTTGGTGAGGTAGTCAGAGAGCGCAGTCCCTTGTTTCATGATTTACTGCTTGTCAGCAGTCTGTTTGTTCTGAATACTAAACTGTCAGTTTAACCACTGAAAAGAAGCTTTTTATCATTTGATCAGCTTCTTATTTTTTTGTTGGAACTACACAGATGAAATTGTCGTGTTGATGCACACATTTTTTATTATGAGTATTGCACAAATTCCTGTTCTTAGTGCAGGATATTTCTACACACATCCCAAGTTACATCTTTTTTTTTGTTCCTTCAATTCAGGGAGGAAAGCAGAGAGCAGCAAGAATATGTAAGAACGCTGCTAAAATTATTCAATTTTCAATTTAGACCAAAACTTATCAGCTTAGAAGCTGCTGGTGATGCTGATTTACACCAGTAGGCTTCATATGCATTTATCAATCAATCAATGTGTTTTTCCAGGTTCGTGTGATTCAAAAACAACTTCAGCCTGAACACAACCCAAAGCTGATGAAAATTTGCCCCTGCATTAAACTGCTTATCAAATTTCAGTCCATTATCTGAGATAACACCAAGGTTTCTGACCTGTTTCCTGCATTTGTAGGCTGAAGAGCCACGGTCAGGTTTTTGAACACCAGGGGGATTGGGGGTGTGGCAGTTAAAACTATGCATTCAGTCTTGTTCTCATTGAGGAACAAACATGTATTGAAAAGCCACAGCTGGAGGTCATCAAGGCAGATCAATAAAGCTGTTATGGTGATGTAAATTTTTGACCTGATTGGTAAATATATTTGTACATCGTCAGAATAACAGTGGAAGTGTAGTTTATGTCTAGCCATGATTCCTTTAAGCATGTACAGCGAGAAGAGCAGAGGACCTTGAACTGACCCCTGGGGAACACCACCATAAAATGGAGCCCACGATAAATGAACATCACCAACCATCATCAGAAGGTCTGACAGAGAGGAGCAAAACATTTTAAGATCGTACCACCAAAACCAGCAGGTTCCTCAAAGCATGAAAGAAGATCAAATCTGCTGGACTCAGATTTGGTTTGAAATAATTGCAAATAACATGTTTTAACTGTTGAAGCTGTTAACTGATAAAACTGTTTAACACAAATACACAATTAGTAGTCATAAACTTATTTTAGACCCTAGTAAATGACTTATTATCAGTGATTTATTTAATCAATAAGAAACAGGTGGGGTCATGATGCTGAAGTTTTCTTTTTATGAAAGGATGTTACAGGCATCTCTTCCAAAATTATGACTTATTTTTCTGTCACAATAAATGATTTTAAATAAACAACAAATATCCAAAAGGGAGTATAAAAATAAATGTTATGTACATGTTTTTGTGATTTAAAAATAAATAAATAATAAACATACAGCAATTTACCAAGAAGGTGAGAGGAGAAAGAGAAACAAATTTAAAGACTAGCAGCGATTTAGCTCCCTGCTGAGTGCAGAGAAGAGAGAGGGAGGAAGGTTTCAGTGGGAGAAGAGTTCAGAGAAACCATCAAGTTTGGGGTAACTGGCAAAAACATGGCACAGGGGACAAGTTGGACAACATAAGACTAATTGGGGTCACAATTAATCCACTCAGTGATATAAATCCTCTTCATGTGCAACATGTACTGCCAAGTTTCCCATAATTTAAAAGAATTGAGGCCTTGATTGGTAATGGAGGCTTTGTATTGTTGTCTTCATGTCATGAACATAGAGATATGGTAAAGATGTGCTGTTCTCATTCTATGATGTTTTCTCAGAATATGTGCAGCACTTTTTTCTCCTCAGTCACACAGATTGAGGACACCGTTGTCATGGTCTGCGTTCTGCGTCTCCCTCATGTGTCTCCTTGTGTTCTCCATGTGTCTCCTTGTCTGTATCCCCCCTCAGGTGCCTCCCTGTGGTCCCCAGCCCCCTCCAGGTTCTCTCCAGGTTTCCCTCATGGTTCCCTTAGTTACTTTCCTTATCATTAGTTTTCTGTCATTGTAGATTGTCTAGTATGTTTCTCCCTTTAGGTATCATCCACCCGTCTTCCAGTGTTTTTGTTCTCTTACTCCTAGATCATTAGTTTTAATATTATTAGTTCTCCACTGTCTTATTTCTACAAGTGTTTTAAGTTCAGTAGCTTTGTTTAACTGGTTTTGCTGGGGCTTTCCTCACATGCCCTGTTCTGCTCCTCTTGGTTATTGGTATCACCTGTGCCCAATCCTCCTAATCACCCAGCCCCTGAGTATAAAACCCTGTCCTGTCTTTCTGTGTTTGTCGGTCCATTGTTTGTGTCAGCGTTGTCTCGCCCCCTCTCTTGGTCTCTTGTTTTTTGTATATTTCCAGGTCTGCTCACTTTGTCTCTTGGTTTTCACACTAGGATTTTTGGATTTTTGGTTTTGGCTTCCTGCCCTGTTGGATTTACTTTTGGACAATCACTCCTAATAAAGGATTTTTTACGTTTAATTCAACTCCTGCCTCGTGTCTCCCTGGTTCTGCAACTTGGGTCCTACGTTTACGTTTATTTATTTGGCAGACGCTTTCATCCCAAGTGACTTACAGTTTATAACCTATAGGACATGTTGTGATCTGTGGGGGAACCCGGAGTACCCGGAGGAAACCCACGCATGCATGGGGAGAACACGCAACTCCATGCAGAAAGGCCGCAGCTGAGTTTCGAACCTGCAACCTTCATGCTGCGAGGCAACATTGCTAACAACTGCACCACCATGCAGTCCTAACCTCCCCCTACTCGCAGCGTGACAACCGTGAGGGTTTAACGGCTTTATACTTGAGATGTTTTCATTGTCAAAAGCTAAAAGCTCCTTAGAGAAAGAAGAATTTTAGAGCAACCATCCAACCCCTGAAGCATCCCAAACCCTACATTCATGATGGTGTTTGTGATCCATTGCAGCAAATTTGCTTTCTCTTTATTTTTTTTTCTTTGTTCTTCACCAACTGAGAATTTTTAGAGTAGATTTTGTGGCACCTTTGCTGAGTTGTTTATTCGACAGATGCACAATCCTCACAATTTGTCCCTAGTTCAGAAGGTTCATCTTGGGTCTAGTTCTTAGCTTTTGTACTCATGTTTTTAATGTTTTGATCATTTTTATTTTATGGCTTTTTTAATCTTTTACTGCCTTTAAAATGTTGGATTTCTGCATTTTATTGTACAGCTGTTTCATTGTGTTTTATTTGTTAACGCTTCCTTAAGCAGTGTGGGTCCCCTTGATAGGGGGTAGGAAGGGGCTTTATAATTCAAGTTGAATTGAATAGTTGTAAATGTGTTTAATAAAGCTGTGTAAAAGTATAGGATTTACTGCAAAAAATAAATAATCTTAAAGTGCTACTTTTTTGTGCAACAACAGCGTTGATTAACTAGCAGTGTTAACTCCAAAGCTTTATGTTACTCAAGATACAAGAGAAATGATGCTCATGGGTTCGGCCCTAAGTAACTGTTAGCTTCACTCCGTTTTCTTCCCAGATTCTTCATTCTTGGACGTCTTTAATTTACAAAACCTGACCTAATTTCAGAATGGCTGAATCATATTGTTATGGCAACTTTTATGAAGAGTTAATAAAAAAAACAGTTCCTGACTAAAACTCATCTCCTCTTACCTTAACCTTGATAATCATCCATTTTTGCCTACTACCTGAATTTTAATCTGATGCTTCCCTTTAAGATCGTTCCTACGCAGCACAGAGTCGGGAGAGAGGGAGGAGACAGAATTCTGGGATGTTAAGTGACTCCACTTCTCAGTAATGGAGCTCTGCAGCGCAGCATCTCTCATGCCCAC